GAAACCCAAGGAGGGGTCACTATGAGTTGGGTCCAACTAGACAGCATATAACAACAACAACAACATCAAAGAGAATAATGGTCTTATTTATAGGGTTGTGGTAAGGAATGAACAGATTACATAGTTAAAATATTCTGTGACTGGAACATATGAACTCAGCATAAGTCGGTTATATATCCCTGTCCTAGAAACAACAAAAACAGTAAAAATAACTGTGCACTCAGGCAATAGAGATAATTTAGAAGTATGTGGAGAGGAAAATGCTGAGGACTTTTTTTTTTTCTTTTTCTTTTTTTCTGTGTATTGAGAAATAGGGTTTTAATTCTCATGGAATCCAGATGTCTGGTGGGGTCACCCACTCTGGCTATTGCGCTGAGATGTTCTTTTGAATCTTGAGCCTGGAGGAAACTGGGTTCTAAAAGTCATCTTTAAGTTAAACAATAAAAACCAAAAACCAAAATCACTGCCTTCGAATCAGATCTGACTCGTAGCGACCCCTGCTTGGTTTTCTGAGGCAGTATCACCATGGAAGTAGATTGTGCAACCTTCCTTCCGAGGAGTGGCTGGTGGGTTTGAACTGCCAGCCTTCTGGTTAGCAGTCAAATGCCTTAGGCACTATGCCATCAGAGATCCTAAGTTAAACAGCAGGTCTAGATAAATTAGTAAAGATCAATTTAATCTCAGGCATTGGACTCTTGAAGAATTATCTATGTGCAGTCAGTTTTGAGAAGCAGAAACTCCAAAGTCATGCTAGAAGCTGTGTTTTAGGGTAAGTTGTTATTATATAAACACACGTTCTGGCATATTCCCATGACAATGTTGATGAGATGAAGTATAAGAATCTTTGGATATTCTTTCCTCTTAGGAACATTCACTCCCTAGTCAAAGTGTTACCCCGATTTTCAAATATTAAACAAACTTTAATTTTTATTATTAGATTAATATGATTTTTGCTCTAACAATATAGTATCAAAATACAAGGCTCCCAAGTTCATTTCTAAGTATGGATAAAGATATGGATTTGATTTCCCAGGAAGTTCTCAGTAGTTACAGGAGATGAAAAGAGTAAAAACATTAACACACACACACACAATCATTTCTGTTTGCAATAGCCCAACTCCAATATGCCTAAATATTCCTTAATAATGCCAAGAATTCCACTTACTGTACTTCTATAGAAATAATACCTGCCCCAAATGCAGAAAATTGGTTTACATACAGGGAACTGATGTGTGGCAGAACTGAAGCAGGAGACGCATAAACTGCCCTGAAGGAAGTTAGCTTTACATCCAACTGCTTTGAACTGGCAACAGCTTTAGAAATATCATGTAGGTCACTCTGTAGCCCTATAGAGAGAGACATTAACAGAAAATGTGGGCATTTTAATAGAAAGAGCAAACAAGGAAATTTGCTGTTGCTATGAGTCGAATCCGACTCAATGGCAATGCGTTGCATTGCGTTTTAGTTTTATACTAAGTATCATCAATACCACCAGTTTGCCACTTTGTCACCTTGTGTTATCCTAACCTTTATATATATGTTGTTGTTGTTATGTGCCCTCCAGTTGTACCTGACTCATGGCGACCCCTCCTTGGGTTTCTGAGGCAGTATCACTATGGAAGTAGATTGCATAACCTTCCTTCCAAGGAGTGGCTGGTGGGTTTGAACCAC